GCAGACACCTACGCAGCTGCGAAAGTGAAAGGCGGGCTCCCTGGCCGGGCGGCGCGGCGCGCGGGCACGCGGCGCGGGGAGGAGGACTGAGCCCCGAGCTATGATCCTAGAATTCTCCTGTTCCCCTCGCGCGGTGGAGCTGACCACAGCCTTCTCACTCTCCACCCTCCCCAAGTCCCAGCCTCTCACCCCAAGACACTCTGGTCACTCCAGCCCAGTGTGTGTGCGCGCGCTCGTTTTCACGGGCATTTGCGGGTGTGCGGGATACCCTATGCTCCAGACTCCGCACCGTTACACACGCCCCTAGGTGGAAAGTCTGCCGGGCGGGGAGACCTGGGTCACTAGCGGTAGAGGCTCACCTGCTAGCTTGGGTTTTAGGACTGAGTTAAATAAACCCAGGACTTGATCGTACATTCCTCTTTTTTTGGTTTGACATTCCTTCCACGGTTTTCTAAACCCTCTGTAGCCCCTCCCTCTTTCCCAATTTCCTCCTAAATAGGAGTGAAAGTTGCTAATCCCCATTTAAAAGCGGCACTGTCCTGTTAAAATAATCCCTGCCTTTCTTCAGCAGCACTCCTATGGGCCAGTATCAAGCTTACTTGCTCCACCACCCACAGTGTTGGCACTCCTCAGTTCTGTGGCTCAAGGTGGCCTTTTGGCCTGCTGCAAAACAGACTTTTCCTGTTTTGTAAAAGTGGCTTCTAGGTTAAGTTTTGTAGAGGCAAGTCTTAGGTGAGATCAAGTAAGTGTTTAAATAATGTATAATAAAATTTAACCTTATATTCAGCAAATTTTAAAAAGGACAATTTAGAAGAATACTGATGTTCACAAACTGGAAATGTCTTAAAAATAAGAAGGACCGATACTGACGGATGAACAGAAAGATAAATAGAGATGTGATAAAGCGTACGTGAGTGTAGTATAATAACGGAAGAATCAAATTGCTAGTATACAAGAGTTTTCTCCAACTTCCTTGTATGTTTGAGATTTTGCATAGTAAAACACTAGAAGAGGAGCCACCGTTTAAGGTAACTAAGATAATGTAAAGTTCATTCACAAGATTGGCGGGTTAGGCTTGGATGATTCCTTTCCCATTTACAAAGTAATCCTTCTCCTACGTGCTCCCACCGCTACTTCAGTCAATACTTTCAAATACAGACAATGTGATCAAAGTATGCTATAAAATGGGCTTATGATAACTGCAACATTTTAGAAATTTAGGAGATTTCTTCCTATGGCTTATTTTCTTTTCTTTTGTTTTCAGAGACACAGTTTCTCTGTGTGGCTTCTGCTGTCCTGGAACTCACTTTGTAGACCAGGCTGGCCTCCAACTCAGAGATCTGCTTGCCTCTGTCTCCCAAGTGCTGGGACTAAAGGTGTGTACCATCACCGCCTGGAATATTCCTATGTTTTTATTTAGCCACTTTGCAAATTTTTATCTGCTCTGTCTTTAAGGTTGTTAGATATTAAAATCTAAGATTTTTTTGGTATACTCTTTTGAAACATTTTCATACCAACACAGAGGGAGTCTGGGGTCTCTGTATGCCCAGACATGCCAGTTTCTTTTATTATTGGGGAAGATTTAGAGGATCTTAGAATTATCCATAGGCAAAGTTTTAGGTTTTTCTATTTTTAAATTTTTATCTGAGTATCAAGTTTCTCTTGCATAATCTCCCTTTGCTGGCACTCTGAGATGACGCAGCGCTGGAATTCAGGGCTGTACCCCCTTGTGAGGGACACTAGGAAGGTGGCACTGCCTTTGATAGTCAGTGCTGTCCCTAAGGGACACTATGAGAAAAGAGATCGCAGGGCTTGAGGGTGTTAGGGGGCACTCTCCTCTCCATGCCCATCGGTAAGAGCCCTGTCAGTCCCCAGATGTGTGTGGCAATGCCGCTGCTTTAGAGACACTATCTCTTAACCAAGGCTGCTCTTTCCAACCTTTGAAATAAGCATATTTGTTATTTGCAAAAGGATGGAGGTTTCAATCTCTTTTGAAAAAGAGATTAAAAATTAAGAAATGGACAATCACAGAGAAGTGTTACTCCATCTCCTATATAGCTACCAAATGTCTTAAAGCTGCAAGCAGCCTAGGTCTCTCTCCCTTTTGACAATCAGAGCACATTCACAGGCTGAGCCTGAGGACACCTCCCTCCCCCATCCCATTAGTGTCAAACTCCCTGAGGTTTGCCACAGTAAAGTGCACGACTCAGCATTTGCAATTTACATGTGTGACATCACGTCCTCTATTATGTAATTTCAGAAACAAAGCCTAATATCTAAGTTTGTGTTGGAAGAACCAGCTCTGTTTCATCTTGAACAGAGCCGCCCTTAGCTCTCTGCTTCCAGCCTCACTTCCTCACCAGCTGGAAGATTTCTCTGACCTCAGGTTGAACATATCTTTCTTATGTCTTTGTTTGCTAGCAAGAAAGTGAAGGCCATATAGTTTATTTTTATTACATAAGGTTTTTGTTTGTTTTTGTAGGTAGGGTTTCTCTGTGTAGCCCTGGCTGTCCTGGAACACTATATGGACCAGGCTGGCCTCGAACTCACAGAGATCTGCCTGCTCTTTTTTTTTTTCTCTAAAGATAAAGGCTAAAGCATTTAGTTACAATTAACTTCATTAACAAGGTTATCCATGCTAGGGTTGGTTATTTATTTATTTATTTATTTATTTATTTATTTATTTATTTATTTATTTATTTATTTATTTCAGCTTTTCTCCTCTGTGTAGAGTCAGAGAAAGGAGGTGAACAGGACAATAATGTGAGATCAAACTTCTTTGTTTATTGCAAAACACACAGTTACAGTTTATAAACACTGCACACAAAGAAGAAATTATGGACTGGAAGATAAATAGAGAACATATTAAGGATTTCACTGATACCCAAAATTGCCCAAACCCAATTTTCTACACAATTTGGAATATTTGCTTCAGTTTTCATTATTCACTAATTTGAATAATTAATTAGGGATTTGTTTACTGACTGATTTATCTTTCTACCTTCATCCTATTTTCAGGCAGTTAAAAGAGAAAATTCACAAACTTACTACATTTCTATGGCCAGGTTTTGAGATGGAAGAGCAGCAAACAGCACACACATCACGATTAGTATCCATATTATTAGAAGCAAATCAGATTTCATTTGGCCCTCACTGAGGTTCTAAACTTAGAAATAATGTACAGTATTTGGAAGGGGAAGGAACTTAGAGCAGTATATTTTAATAAAATAGGGACATTTTCAATTTCTTCTCTTTTCTCATGTTTTCTTGGTGCAGTAGAAGAAATTCATCACCTTTAAATAACTGTGCTAATCTTACATAAATAACTGCATGGTTGTGTGCTCATTAGGGAGCCAGGCTGTTTTTCTGGTATAATGCTCAGTAGCAGCACACAGACACACACAAATACACTAACACACTCTCACATACATGAACATACACACATACACACAAATACACATTGCACACACCACACACACCACACACACATACACAAACACACTACACACCACACACAGGAGCATACACACATGTACATGCACACACAAACATATACACATACACATACAAATATACACTACACACACCACATACACATACACACATTCACATACACAAACACACTACACACCACACACAAGAGCATATAAATGTACACATGCACACACATACACACACAAATACACACTATGTACACATACATACACACACAAAATACACATACCACAATATTATATACATATACACTTACACACCACAGTACACACACATGCACACACACTGAAACCCACTGGGTCAAGAGTGTGAAACCCCTACCTCTGCTGAGCTAGATGAAAGCCCGTGTAGAATTTCTCACCAGGACTTCACAGAAGTAGTTCCCTTTTCAGTAGCTGCTGCTATATTTTTAGCAACATTTTAACAGCTGTCAGTAACAACGAAGACAACATTTGATCAACAATATTTTTTATTCTATCAAAGATGATTGCAAAAAGAATGCCTCAATATTTAAATGTTTAGCCATTAAAGAGAAATAATTTCTTGTGATAAAAAACGCTACAAACACATCAGAGACAGGCATGAAGTAATTGCATAAAATGAGGGCTAA